TTTTTCTTTCGAAAACGGACCTAAATATTTAAAAAAAGTGGAGTTAAAATAACTTTATTTCCAAAACTGAATGTATTTCTTTCAATTAATGAAATGATACTAATGAATGAAGTTTATTTATGAAGTATTAAAAAAAAAAATCATCAAAAGTTTTTTTAATTTATTCTTTCGAATGAAAATTAAAAATAAATTCATTTTATTGAACCATTGTTGTAAAAAAAAAGTTGAAATTTCGTCGTACAAATTTAATAACTGTTTTCTCCCACCCCTATCCCCGCTCGAATCGTACACAATTTTTTCTCTCCAAAGTGAACCCCTAACAACCTTGTTTGTTCCTATACGGGCATTCGAGTTTAATTGATTCCTAAATATTTAATTACTCTTAAAATAAACAAGAATTTTCGGAAATATTTACAACAAATAAAGAATTTCTTACTTTGTGTTTTTAAAAACATTGGTTTTGATACGAACAGTTGGATACGAAAATATAATTTTATGGTTCAGGACTATTAGGATTCACTTTAGAAATAAAAGACTCAAATAATAACATTTGATAGCAAAATGATTCAAGAAACGCTAGTGATTTAACAAAGACCAGAATCTTATTGTAAGCCGTTCTAAAGTTTAGACCATTTAATCATATCATAATGAATTTATTTAATTACAGATTTCCATCAACAGGCAAATTTAATGGTAAACAATAACAAAAAACACATGAGTGGCTTTATACCAAAGACGAATATGTCATTTTCAAAAAATAGCAGAAAAATCAATTTTGTAAGTTCAACTACAACTGTTTCTGATGGTTTTATTTAAAAATGTTTAAGTTGAATCATGAAAAAATATTATTAGAATTGGTTCAAACTGAAGTTAAGTTACAGAAAATTGTCTTTTTCCCAACATTTTAAAAATGACTGATGTCCATCTTTGAGATGAGGACACTCTTATAGTTCATTTAAAATATAAAAAATTAAGTAGGGCGAACACATCAGTTGTGGACATGAGGCCCAGTGATAGACAGGTTGGACTTTAAATGTAAATAAAAAGCCTGCTTGTTGGTTTGAAGGTTCCAGTTTTTTCTAGATTGAAAAACAATGCCCTTTATTGACAACTGTATGAACAAAGTTCCCCACAAAACAATTTATATGCCTATCATTGTTTCTATAGTGCTCTTGAGATCAGTGTGTTTCATACCTTGCTACCAACAGTTTTGCTAAGATTAAGTGGAACATTTATCTTATCTTTTCTTTATTTTTATCTTTATAGTTAAATAAAGATTATAGAATTTTTCTGATTATAAGTCCATTACTGCTACCGACCCCCTGCCGTTCCTAGAACAATTCAGTTTCGGGATGTCCACCTCTCGTACAAAAAGGTGTTGTTTTTTTTTTGAGATTATACCTGCATAACTGATTTTTTTTTTCAATTTAAAAGCGGTAAATAGAAAAAAAGGAAACTCTAGAGATCCTATACGTCGAAAATAGAAGTTTATAACTAGAATAATTACGGCGGCATAAGCCAAAAAAAGACAAAACTCTTCTTAGCTATGTGGTACGCTTACCCTACTTATAAAAAATAATTGAATGTTACTTTGAAATATATTAAAGAATTGGGGGGAAAATGGTATTTATAAAAAATAATGATTATTTCTTAAAAAAGAAGCTAGGTAGCGCCGTGAGAAGGAACTTGTACATTTCATATATTGTAAATAAAGTTATTGGCTATAATAAAAACAGCAGTTGATATATAATAAAAACAGTGTGTATGCTGTCAGGAATTTATTTATTTACTCAACATATTAATTAATTCCCAGTATAATTAGGTATAAATAAAGTTTGCAACACTTCAAGTATAAGAGGGATCACTGTCCACAAGCAATGCATTTCTCTGAAATCTATTCAGTACAGTTTTGGAAATGTTACCAACAGTTTATTTAACACATACAAAACTAATCATCATCAATTAAATATGGAAATAACTTTTAAAAACTGATCTTCTATGAAATAAAATAAAATAATCTTTGATGGATTATTTAACTATTGGTAATAAACTACAAAATAAATTATGGAATCCGTTTTTGTAACATAGTTGAGGTTCGAAGATAAGGGTGAAGTTTGTTTTGTTCACAAGAAAAAGGGAAAGAGGTAAAAACAGATCTATGTAAATTATTGAATATTGAAATTAAATGACCCTTAAATAGCCAAAACCGGAACTTAGATATAAAAGAAAAAAAAATACAGTCGTTCTTCTTCATAGAATAAATAAAGACCAGATGCTAGATAAATTATAGGACATTGAAATTAAATGAGCCTTAAACATCTGAAACCAGAATTTTTATCTAACAGAGACTGGAATATCCATACGTTGCTATAACAACCACTCAACCTAACAGTAACAAAACCGTCCATTCCGACAAGTATCAGTGTTTTCATCATTCTCTTTGTTTAATGAACATAAATCGATATTTTTTAAATATAATTTTATATATTTAAATAATATTTTTCAAGGAAATTTAATGTTTGTCCTGTACAACATACTTTTTTTTTTAATTTAGCTCATGCGCTTATTTTTTTTCATTATCTAATTTACTTTTTGTATTTTTTAGCTCTTTTCTGCTTTTCAACCAATTAAAATCATAATCGAAAAACTGAACCATTTTTTTTCCATTTAATTAATTTGAAATACGCATTTCTAAGTCCTCAATTGAAGGAGACAACTTTTCTGTCTGTTTGATTTCAGCTTTCCACCTCGGCAAAATGTAATTATATAAAGTAATATAATTTAATTAAACTACGGTTTGATTTAAGGTGTGATAATAATGTAGACCCAATATGAAAGAATTGCGGTGTTTTTAAGCAACTTAACTTTTGAAAGCTTTTCGCGTTCATGCATTTTATTGTTTTATTCTTATGCAATTAAACATACATGTAAATTTGTAATTAAGATAATTTAAAAAAAAAATGTTTTCGTAGCCAGATTTTGAATGGAACTGAAATGAAGCATTAATTTCAAAATCACTTTTAGTCTTTCGTTATCAGTAAGTGTACAGATACATAATATTGATTCGAGTATGCCCTTCAGAAACAGAGCTTATTTTTAAAAATATTTAACATGAAACAACAACTAAACTATTCAATAATCTATCAGGTGACAAGTGTAGGTTCACTAAACCAGCGGTTCTCAAATATTTATTGCCCTGACGGTACCCACATTGGGATAAAAAATTATCACGGAAATCTTGGTAGAGAAAAAAAAAATCGCAGCACCATTTTTTGATTAAAAAAAAGTTATAACTCAGTTATTCTCAAAACAGTGATGTAATACAATTTTACTCATTTGTGGTATATTATATATAAACCAAAAATATTTAAGCTGAGATATGATCGTAAATTGGATTTATTTTAATTTTAATTATTCTATTAATAAATATAAAATTATTTAATATAAAATATTATTCCGCCGGCTTCCAGTTTGAACACCTTGGCACTACATATCAGTTCACTGCATTACGTAATAAGTCCGCATATTGAATGGCCGATTAATAAACAGGAAGATTAGCTCTTGATTAGAGTGACAATTCAAGGAAAGATGCAAAATTTGAGTGAAGTTATTGTTTTTTATATTTAAATGAATATTTACTAGAACTCCATAATCAGTTAATAATTACTGAAGATAAATAGATAAAATCAAGTTCTGTTGTTTCGGGATAATTAAATGGGTCGAGAAAATTAAACTTTGTTTTTAGTGTTTCTTAAATTTAAAAATATACTATTATTATATTGCCGTTTATTATTTTTATTTATTGTATGGTATGAATGAGCATATAGGGACGATTAAGAGAAAACTCGCTACTTGAGCTAAATCAATTTTTTTCAATTGTGCTATTCAATAAAAAGAGTGAACAATGTATATCATGAAATCTGAAAATCTCCTCGGAAACTCCCTGAACAACACAAGGTATCAATAAAACAGTTTATCTAGTTTTTTCTAATTTAAAAAAAAGAAATTAGATTTAGATAGGTTCAAATTGATGTCGCGAGTATTCCCTTACTCATCTCACTGTACGGACAAGAAAGTCTCCACCCTTTAAGCTCTCTTGGTTTCTAATCGACTAACCATTCGTATTTTAATGCTCTAATGAAAGTAATTAAGAAATTGTATGAAAGAAAGTAAGAATATTTGTACTAGCTTGTATAATTTTGTTATTCTCCAGGAACTTTGTCCTGGAATAAAGTTATATTCTGGAAAAAAAAATTTTAAAAATATTTTTTAAATCAAATCATAGTAACTGTATTAAACTATTGTCACATTATTATTTTTTTAATATACACATTGTATAATTTATATGTTTCCTCCTCTTCTTTAGTTCTTACCTCCATTACTGCCTGCATTTTGTGTGGCATTGATCTAACAAGCCTTTAAATAAATTCCTAATATTTCAATACTCAGTTTTTAATTTTTAAAGCGATTTTCTTAAAGTTCGGCTCCCTTTATTGGCCTTGATTCACCCCGTAGATTACCGATAACGTTTAGATTTGCATTATTCGTTGAGTACTCGGAATCTCTAATCACGGATTAAGGTTTGAAGCTCTTCTTTAGCCAGTGCTATTTTTCATTAGGACTATAGTTTAATAAAACCTCTGAGAACCCATTCCATTTGATTAGATACTGTTGTGGTCTTACTGTGGTAATGTAAAGGAATAAAGAAGTAAAGGAACCCGGACTAGATAAACGAAATTAAGGTATGACTGACATACAGCTTTGTGAGTTATCACCATGGCAACAATTGATATAGTTGACCTTGCCTCTTTCAAGTGATATAGAGCCTTGATGTTGTTTACTTTTTTTTTAATGTTATAATCGTTTTTTTGTAACTTCAATGAATCTTATTTCTCCTGATGGTTGATTTAAAGTATTTTACCTTTCATGGCTGATATCCACTATCTTCCTCTTCATCTTGGATCCAACCTGGAAGCCCCCCTTACCACTTCCACCCTAACCTTCCACTTCCACCTCTCCGGAAGACACATTGTGGTAGCAGCGCGGAGCGGCGCCTACTCTCACTGGGTCCAGTATTGAAAGTGCCGTCATTACCCGACCGGGTAAAAATAAAAGCCCCGTTAGGTGCAACGACCCTGAAGAAGTTCCCATATCTGGGTCGAAACATGGGGGCACACTTTCTAGGGCCTGCTACCGGCCCACACTCCTCACCCCCTCTACGTCGTCTGTCTCCTTCGTTACCCAGGATATTGTCATCCTGGAGTTCGATCCGAATCGTTTCTTCTTCTCCTGCGTTCCGGCTTATCAGCGCGTATCACTTAGCTCGCGTTAGAAGATGCAACTTTGTTTCGACAAGATGTTCTTTTCTTCACCTCAGTTCGTTGTAATGTAAATAGCTATCAAATAATTCGAAAAATATTAATGTTTCTTTATTTATCGCTATGGTGCCATCTAACTTTCTTAGGCCAAGGAAAAGTGCTTCGCAGTCATAGTCCTCTACTGTTCTTTCTCTAAAGGATTGCCTGAACCAAGTAAGTAAAGTAACTACCTCTCGGGCGTTAAAAACCTCATTCGAAGAGATCACTCTCATTACGGTGAGTGATGAGATTATAATACGATTTCGATTATTATCCCATCGAAAAAGTTTTGATGCGAAAACTTCTCGACCAAAGAAAATGAAACAAAATTAGTATATTTTTAATGCCCTAATTATGTTTTTACTCCCTTTAATAAATAAAAAGAACTATTTAATAATCTTTATTTCTTCGTAATTTTGTTCCGTCCGGTTCATATTTATCTTTTGTAAAAATGATACAAGCGCCGTCAGAGGAAGTGGAAAACGTGAACTTTCCTTTTCTTTTCTTATCATAAGAAACAGAAGGTCTCAATATTTTTACTAGGAATAGATTTTAATTTTTACTCCGTAACTTATAATTGTTTATCACAATCTGGAGATTAGTTGGTAATTTTAATACAATTGAGTATTAAGTCTTCGTTATTCTCATCCAAAATCAAATCCCAAATGTTTTCCAAACGTTCAAATCATTTGAAAAAAAAAATAATATGTAGTTGGCTGTTCGCGATAACTTGTTATAGAACAGCTGCTGATCTATTGTGATCTATTTACTTCTCAATAACTTCTCATTATCAACTCCATTTTGATTAATTATACTAGGGAAAAAATAAACTATAAAATTATTTTGCCACATAGAGCAATGCTTACTTATTTATAAATTAAAGTTATCCATCAAACCTCTCTTTGCATTTGGAACTCTCAAACTGAAGTAACGTTATTAAAACAGGCCGATATAGTTACGAGGTTTTCGTCGTCTTTAAAACTTCATACTTTTAAAATAAATATCCTATTCGGATGATTTAAATAGCGTTCTCATTCTTCTCCTTTCTAAGTATTTTTAAAGATGAAATTGAATCTTATTTACTTCAGTGGCTCCTATCGAGGACAGTCCGTTCGAACCTGGATTGACCGAAATCGTTAAAATAAACAGGTAAAAGAGAAGCTGCGTATTAAATGGTTTTGGAGAGTGGCCGCAAAGAGGACATAATTCCTTCTGAGAAGTGCTACGGGACCATTCCGCCTCCTTGCTCGGTAACCACGCATCCCATTCATTTTGCTAATGAGCGCTCATCTTCCGCTACCTCTAGCCCATTCTCAGAACTTCTTTTCTCCGTTAGCTTTTACATTTTGGTCCAGACCGCTGGTCACCCTCTTGAGGAGGAAGTTGAGGATGTGCGTGCAAGGATTTCTAAAATTTTGGCGATGTGCTGCTTTAGTTTAGATTAGATGTGAATACGGCTTGTAATGAATCAGCTAAAACAAGCAATACTGATTTTGCAGTCATAGTCCAAACCTAGGGAGTTCCTACTGCCTCAATTGTTGGAGAACTATAATGTGTTGTAAAACTTCTTATACTGGACACTTCTCTATAGCGGAAAATTTTACTTACAAATCCTATCAATTTTTAGATAATAGTGTTGATGTCTTCCGCTTACCGAACGATCTCTATAACGGTCGCGGACAGGCCTAATGAAAGTATTATAATTTCTCCACAAGAGAGCATGAAACCAGTGAAGCCCTTATTCTGAGAAAATCAATTGAATTTATAATAGATTCTATCCATACTGGGGGATTAAGTTTAATAGTTAGGACTAAGGATTTAATCTTAGGTAGTTTTTCCTCCTGAAGAATTGTCAAAATAATGTCAACCCAGGAGTGCCCATCCCTCCAAGATCGATGGCTCATTAACCTTTCCCGCTCCTCCCATGATATTTTATTGACATCATCTTCCTAAGCACAGAGTATGCGATGGTAGAATAAAAATATCGTAGATCATTTACAATTACATTTCCTGCGGTCTGTTACTCCTTGTCCTCTGGTTTTAAACATTTCATTCCGATGATGTGCCACCCTTAAAAACTTTGATGATGCAACTTACGCCATTAAACTCCCTTCTTGCCCCTCCCCCCGTGTGTCAACATGCGTCCATTCAAGTTGAGTGCTCGTAAAATAACTATTATTTGAGAATCGTCCGTTCAATTTATAATCTAAAAATGTACATTAACGTGAACATAAACATTTTCATGAAATGAAAAAACATCAAACCTCTCCATAGAAATCAAATAACATGCCTCTATCTGGATTCGCGATGGAAAACTGTGCGAGTCAATACACTTTTAAACGGTCATCCATGATTTGGTTAATGTGTAAACGCTGTTAAACAAGATTTAGACAAAAGAATACATCACGAATGGGACCATTTCGAAAATTGGTGAGGATACCAATAGGGATACCATGCTCGTAAATAGTAATGATTAAAGGATTAATTGATGTAAATTTATTTTAGTTTAAATAAATTGAAAAATTGAATGACACAACTACTTAAAAAGAATGGTAAATGACGTAATACCATTTGTTGTTACTTACTAATAAAAAGTCATCTTTCTTCAACAGTCGTGGTCAAGATTTAAAATTAATTTGATTTTATTTAATTATTTTTATAATCGAGTTATAACTGACCTACATTAAAAATGTTAGTGAATAGTCAATAGTCGCAGAATTTGATGCTCTACAACTTTTATGAGTTTATTCTCTTAAAGAAATCCTGTCCAAACTGCCGACCCATCTATAATAATCAGTCTCAATTTTTTGTCAAATTTGTTTTTCAACCATAACACTTAACCAAATTTTAAAGTTTAGCTACTCATTTGATACACGATTTAACGTTCTTTGATTTCTTCAAGAAAAAAAAAAAGATAAGGATACTTAAAAATTCTGGCTTTTTGGTTGTCATAGTTTTCCTTAGGTGGTGCGTGTTTGTTATTATTTGTTTTGTTTTTCATGTTTTAATACAGGTTAAAGAATAAAAAGTCCCACAAGTTTCGCAATATATTTACCGTTTCAATCTTCAATTTACTGGCCTGATATTCTTAAAACCGGGCGCCATTTTTGAAACCAGCTACTCTGGAATGATGAACAAGGTTCATTTTACTAAAACAACATACATTTTCGTAATTTATATTCAACCCTTTTTCTGGGTTATCATTATCCAGGGATATCATTGTTATTTCCACATTTTGAGTATGTTGTTCCGCCTAACCCATGATGTAGGCATCAACTAGGGTTGATGAGTACTTAATATAAAGAACAGACTGTTCCCTTTGTCGTATGTTTGTTAACAAATGTGTGGGTGTGTGCTAAAGTAGATAGCTGATGGGATGGTATGATAATATAATAATATATAATTGGCTCACAGATGCCTGCTCATCGAACGAGGCGGTCCACCTGCAGCAGCGACTGAGGAGCCTGTCCAGCGAGCTGGTCACACTTCGCAACCGGCTCGGCCAGCCGCAGCCTCCGGTTCCCGCTCCCGTCAACCAGGATAGCCCAGGTCAGTTTCGTATTTATTTATTTAATAATTGTTAATAACCCGTCTTAGCTCCGCTACGTCCACCATCTCCTGCTAAATTGTTATAAACGGTAAAATGACAAATTACAGTTTTTTTTTTTTTTTAAATAGGGATATTCATGCAAATAGTACCAAGTCTTATAAACCTCTTATATGTTTTAAAGTCGAGAAACATATTTAAGTGTTAAATATGACCGTTAGCTACAGATACAGATTACGGGGAGCGAAGAGGGCCATCGCTCCCTCCCCTCCCACAATGAAAATGTTGAGAGTACGAGATTATCGTCGTCCCTCCTCCTCAATAACTCGAAGTAAAAAAAAAAAAAAAATTAAAATTGACAACAAATAAGATAAGTAAATAAATAAAATATGTGAACTCAAATCGATTAAGAAAATTCGACCAGCTCGTTTACACAGGCGGATCTACGGGGAGGGGGCTTTCGGGCTGAAGCCTCCCCAAAATGGAAAAATATAATTTTCATAGAAAAAAATATTAAAAACTATCTCTTAAAATATTGTTGTTCGTGTAATTATATTTAATAAAACTTCAAGGACCACTTAGCATAGGTAGTTAATTTCTTTCCTTTTATTTTTAATTAGTTATCGTTATAAATATGAAAAAAAAAAAAGCTTCTGGACTGAAGCCCTCGCCAAAATTAAATTCTGGATCCGCTAGTGCTCGTTTGGCTTAGACCTATAAGTAGCTACATAACTATTTTATCACGACCTAAATATTCCTATTATTGAAATTTTCATTTATATTCAAGGATAATTATATAGAAACATTTTCCTTGGATTTTACGATTCATTCACCTCTATCTCCACATGATTTTCTTATACATTTTAAGTATAAATATATTTGTATGGGCATTTTTACATAATTAGTCAGACTGTGAAAACATTGTATTATTATTTTAAGATTATGCAAACTAATAAATCAAAAATACTTTTCGTTGTTTTTTTAAACATTATTCATTTTTAGCTGGAAATATTCTTGAAATGTACTTATATTATGAATGCTGCCTCCCTTCCTTCCATTTTTAATGGTCACAAATTGTAATAAATTCAATTGTTTTGTTCTGATATTTTCAAGTATATCCATATCAATTCATATGCACATGAAAAAAATCTATAACTTCCAAACAAATAGATAAATTTATTTTTAAATATTCAATAATATATTTGCTAATATAATAATTATATTGAATTTTTACTCATAATAAGAATTACTGTCTTATTTTCATTTTTTTTTTTTTTTTCATCGCCCCCTCCTCCCACCCCATCGAAATAGTAAGCATGCGCCTATGTCGCTAGCTCACTCGATTTTAACGCAGTCTAGGCTCTTGTAAAGTAGTGGTAATTTCGTAAAAACAGTTAAAGAATATAGTGAGGTTTTGATGTTGTGTTTAATTTTTTGTTCATTGTTGGTTTACACTACCCATCGGAATGGAATGTAAAAAAAGACTTAGCAGCCAGGATTTCATTTATGTTTTCATCGAGTTCCTTGCCTTCTGAATCTTCATTCATACTTTCTGTTTAGGCATTCTTAACCGAACAATCCAGTAACTCTGCCTTTTTATTTTATATTGACATTTAAAAAAAATAAATCAAAACGTTATTAGATCAATCAAGCAGGAAAACCCACAATGAATATCCCTACTGTAAAGAAATTACATTGATAAAAAAAACGCTCAGCTCTTCCGTATTAGCGAATAGTTAGCTGTTATAATGTTTACGTTTTTTTTTCATTTCTCGGCTAGTATGAATAAACAACTAGTCATTAAAAATATTTTATACGAGAATTAAAAAACTGATGCACCAGGGATCAAAACAATGAAACTGACTTAAAATATTTCTGATGAATGATTTAACTGTCAAGAAGTTCGTCTTTTGTCATTTTGTTAATAGTTAATTAATTAATAATTCGTGGACAAATTATTAAATTCTGATAGCATATATCTACACTAGTAATAGAAACTTAGATGTTTGGATCAACAGGTTTTTTTACTAATTATAAAAGAAAAGTAACTGTGCTGTTTTCAACTAAGAAATGGAAAATTGCACATGAAATTTTCAAACTTTCTTCTAAAGAAATATGATTAGGAAATTTCCGTAAAACAAACAACCATTAAAAAAAAAAACTGCAAATTAGCAAGTCTGGGCTGATACCATTTGCAGGTTTGGACATCACCCACCTCAAGAGGGGCGATAACCACTTGTTAGAAATTAAAAAAAAAAATATACGAAACCTATTTCAATAATTAATTTTAGCATATTAATAAAGCAACTGTATTAGAGAAATGTTGAATGAAATGAAATTCAAACACTGCATTATATAAAGCAGCTTAAGAAATAGATTTAATTTTTTTGGTGGAAGAGAGATGACGTCATTGCCCAAGAGCGCCGAATGTCTAAGGCACTGTACTTATGTTGGGACGGAACAAAATGTATCCTGAGATTATTTAAAAAATGTCATTTTAGTAATCGTATAAATTATCGCTCTTTAAGTATCAATAATCAAATTTTCGCTCAGACATGAACACGATTTAAATTATACGATAAAATAAATTTTAAATATCGCTTTATAATACTGCTTAAATATTTAAACCTCAAGGTTTTTTGTTTATTATTGGTTATTATTTAAGGTAATCTACTTTTACAGCATATAGTCTTGCGCCGTACCAAGGCCGATGGTTTTTGCCCTCCTCCCCAGAAATTATTATATATACAGTAATTAAGAGATTTAAACTTATTTTGGGGCCACATCAAATTTAAGTCTTGATAAACGCAAGAATATCCTACCATCGTTTTCTTTTCTCTTTCGATCACCTCTTATATTAATATGTTCTAGAGGTACAACCAAACCTGTTCTAACCAGAATGGCAACGTCGAGATTCATTCCGCCACGAAATAAAGAATAACATATCCAATCTTACAAACCATAAATATTCAATTAAACCCTCATTGTTGCATATTATGTTATAAATAATGATCCCAACGTTTGAGATTTATTCTAAACTACTGATTTCTTCTGTAGTTAATATGACTCAACTGGATCCCATGGATTACCTTCAAACCCACAAGTTTAAACTGCGTTTTTCAATTGATTCCGGATAACTTTTAAGGTCTGTGAAAAAAACATTTATTCATCTTCTCGTAATCTGCATTGTTTATGTGTATGAGAGGAATTATTGTATGTATGAAATTAAGAGCTATATAATAATATCCGTTAGTTAGCTCTCATTAAATAGTAATATATTCGATAATTAATTATAAAATATAAGTAAACTGGCTGGAACGACGGCCGCATTGGATCTGCCCACACTGGACCGATCTCATACTTTTTACGGAAACTTGAATATCGGTGAAGTAGGAGGTGCGGGGGACATGATGACGGGGATGTTCTATTTAGCAGCCCTAATGCTCACTTTGAAGATGTAGTATTAGATCTGAGCCAATTCTTTTAATTTACATAATGCTGGCATTTATATTCCACCTCATGGTTTTATTCATTTACTTATTTTATGTTCCATTAGCTATTAAAATAATAATAATCTAATGTAAGATCCACATTTCATTCAAGTTTTATTCATGCAAATTTGAAAATACCTGTAATTATATGTAATAAAATCTTAATTATTTATTAGGTTTTTCCTCGTGCTTCAAGAGAATTCAAGCTAATATTCTCTGCAAAAAAATATCTTTCTATTCTTTTTTAACTCCATTGAAGATCAAGCAAGACCTTTCAAGCAGAGCAGTGCCCATCTCCCCCTTCCCCTCCCCCCGAGGTTGATGGCGGAAGAACCTCCCCCCGACTCCCAAGATAATTTGGTGCTTAATTGAAAATAGTGCAAGCAAAAGTACAATTAAAAAAATTGTAGATCATATACAATTGCACTTGCAGCAGTCTGTTGTTTGGTTTCCCTTTGTCTCCTGTTTTGAAACTTTTTGTTCCGAAAATTCATAACCCCGTAGAAATATACCCCCACAAAAATTCAGAACCTCGTAAAATCTGCCATCCCAAAAATTTTGCTGGTGCAGCTTTGCGCCGTAAAACCCCCTTATCTAGAAGCTTTCGGGCTGAAGTTTTATCAGAAAAAGCTATAAAAAAATTATCGCTTAAAGTATAATTATGTGTGTAATTACATTTAAAAGGGCTTTAGGAATTACTTAAACTCCAGTTCATATAGGCAATTAGTATTTTTCTTATTTTCCAAAGTAATTATCGACTATTTTTATTTTATAAAAAAAAAGCTTTCGGGCTGAAGCCCCCTCCCCACCCCAAAAAATTAAATCCTGGATCCGCTAGTGCTTCTGGGCACCTCTGCTTTCAAGAACTTTTGTTGCCATCTCTTTTGTTTTGTATAGCGCATGCAGTCTTCAGATGCATTTTTTTTTTTCAACACGTTTTTACCATATCAATCATTTGCTTCATAGTGACTCAGGCAATTTATGAAATCTCGATCCGTACTGTAAATGTTAGATTTCTGAACAAACAACAATCTTCTCAATCTTTCATTTTAAGTAGCCTTTTTTTAAGACTTTGATATATTAGGTTGTCAAATAAGTCCTTTCGGTTTTTCAGAGTGAAATAATACTCAATGTACTATAGACATAAAACTTATTTTAATCTACAAAATATTGACCATTATTTAATATGACGTTTTCTCATCTTTCTGCTAATCGCCATGTTCATAAAATGAATGGAGTTCATTGTTAAAAAACTGATCCAAGTGGTTTTTGATGTCCTCTTCCTTTTGGAATTTCTTTCCATTCATGCAGTTCTGCAGAGACCGGAATGAGTGGTAGCCACTTGGAGCTAGATCTGGTGAATAGGGAGGGTGGGGCAAAAGGTCCTATCCAAGGTTCAATCATTTATTGCGAGTAACTAATGAGCTGTGGGGCCTTGCATTGTCTTGGTGTAACACAACACCCTTCCGATCATTCATAACTCTTTAGAATGCTTTCCAAATTCGATGTTA